TTAAATTTTATTTATTGTAAATCCTTCATTCACAGACAAATATCATAAAACCTCTTCAATAAAAATTTTAATGACTTCATTTAAATTTCTTTCTTTATACAATTATAGCTACAAAGTATAGGTTTGTAGATTTTTCAGGTTCTTTAATTATTTCATAGAATAACTAATCTAACAAAAAAATATTTATTAGAAAAATTACGTAAATTGATAACCAATCGGATTTACCACAAATGAATGAATTAAATTTTTATGAGTTAGATTTAAAATTGATCCGTATTAAAATTTTAATTTTTTTTTTCAATTTAATCCAGTCTAAATCCATAGTGGACTAAGTTGGTTCACGGGTTTCAATCTATTTTATCAGCACTACTTAATCTATTAAGTTAAATGAATTTTTGTGTGAGTAGTTTGTGGTTTGATTTAATTAATTAACCTTAATCAGTAGACCCTGATCATTTTTAAAAATCATTACAAGCCTTGAAAATCATACAAATTAAAAGGTTTAGTTATACGTTTTTCAAATGTAGTAGTTGCGTGATTTAAATGTCTTAGGTTGCAGTTTTCGCCTATCACAAATGTCAGAACCACACTAAAATATAAGCACGTGTCATTTTAGTGGATTCCATGTGTCAAGCGAAGGACTCGACACTCAGTTGGTGGAGGGCAGGTGTTGGCAGATGAGCGGACGTCCATTTTTGACGTGGAAAGCAAAACTTAGTTTTTCAAAACTCACGCCACTCTCTACATGCAACCTCTCTTCCAAAACTCTGAAACTTCATTCTCTCCTCCTTCTCTCTACATTTCCTTCATCTCCTCTCTAAGAAATTCTCACTTTTGCTTCCTCCGATCACCATTCAGGCAACGTTGCTACTCTGCCGGTGCCAAGAGCTTCAGTTTGAACCGATCGGTTTTGGGTTCTGAACTGGTAAGTTCTTCTTCTCCTTTAGTCGTTCATTTTCTGGACATGCAAACCAAGTTCTGGTTTCATGTGTTGTTTACTCTTCTAAAAATTTGAGGTTCTTATAGTATTTTGATTTTTAATTGGATTAGTTTGGGGAAGTTGTTGAGCGTTGAGGGTAGAAGGACTGGTTGTGGTGTGAACCCTATTCTGTATCTGTGAGCGTTCGGCTACATTAGAGGTAAGAGAAGCTTATCTAATTTAATTGTATGTTCGCTTGTACGTTCGTTGATAATAAATGCTTGTTGATTGAGTGGTTGAATGTATATGAAGTATGATTGTTGATATGCTTGTTTATATGAAGTATGATTATTTACTATGATATGGAAGTTTGATTTTATGAAAATAGATGTTGAGAAATGAATTGATATAAAGAATTTTAATATGAAAGTGTACATTCGTCACTGAACGGTCCTTGACCGTTCGGTTCTCCTAGTAAACTTGGTTGGAATTGGATTCTTTCATTTGGGAAAAATCCTAGTTGAGGACGAGTGTCTTTGTTTTGTAATATTATGCGTGAGCGTTCGGCCAAGCGTATTTGTTCCTTGGTATTCGGTTATAAACTTAAGTATATCTATATGTATTTGTATATTTTAGTTGTTCTCAAAACACTACTCAAAATGGTATCTTATTATATTTATCAAGTCTTTCCCCTATAAGTTTAGTAGTGTTCGGTCTTACACCAAGTGCTAGTACTGAGTAAGTGCTCGGTCTTACACCAGGTACTCATTCTCCTTTCTAAAATATATATATATATAAATATAAACGTTCGTTCAAACTCAATAGGGTTCGCCCTTTTCGGTGCTCGGTCTTCGACTGACATTCTGATTTTTCTTGATGTTTAACTCATTTCAAAAGCTTAGTATATTTATTGACGTTCGGTTATTCACCTGATTCAATTATTTACTCTTATTTGAAATCTTCACAGTGTCGGTCTCACATTGGTTTCAGCCTAGAGTCTTGGTATTCGACCTAGGCCTATTAGTTTTTCGGTCTAACTCGTGAGTCAGTTCATCCAATTGGCTCACTTAGTATATAAACGTTTGGTCCTTGTCGTTCTCGAGAAATATATGTTAATCTCTCCCTTTCTTAAACCAATGATTATTTCTCTCGGTTTTGATCCGCTTGGAACTGGAGACCTTTGGTCTCACTCCAAGTGTTCGGTCTTGTTCAGAGTAGAAGTTAACGTTCGGTATTTGGTGTCTTCAGAGACGTTTATTCAAATTGATTCCATTGAGGTCTTGTTAATAAAAGATTATGGACTATGATTCATATGAAATGTATTGGAATTATGGACGAGCGTTCGGGGAGGAATAACTCATGAATGAATATTGGATTTTGGTAAAGTATGAATATGGGCATGCTAAGCTGGCGGTTCATCCTGATGTTCCGTGATTACTCGTCCTCACGTAGAGGAGGGTAAGTCATGTGTGGGAACGGCAGGAGGTCCTAGTCCTTATAGTTAATTTGGACAGATAGGATTAACCTCGGGTGGCAGCTGTTGAGGGTATCCCAGTTACTACATCACCCGGGTGCACGAACATCGTAGCTATAAAGAATTCATACAGTCCGGACAGTCAGTCTAGTATTAGGCTTTGTGTGATCGAGTGATGAATTATCTTGTTTGATTTTTGATTGTGTGAAATCTATGTTTATACATGAATTAAATTACATAAGCTTACCCTCTATTTCCTGTCTTGTCTGTTTTGTACGTTCGGTTGTCTTTCTGTTGCAATGATCATCCATGTGGATGTGAACAGAAGGAGATGAGCTGCTGGAGGAAGCGTTGGAAGAAGATAGCTTAGTAGAAGTAGAAATTAAGACCGAACCGTAGAACCGTTCGGTCAATAGTTTAGGTTAAAAGTAAGGTGATCGTTCGATCACCTTTTCCTTTGATTTTGTATGACCGTCCGGTGAGAATTTTGTAAACCGTTTGGTCCGAATTACTTACATTGTACAGTTTTAGTTTTCTCGTTCTTTCTGTAAGGTCGTTCGGCCAGAAGCGTACTTTTATATTTTAATGTAAGACTGATCTGTAATGTTATTTAATGTGATGATTCTATTATATAGTTTTAAACTGTATTTTTGGGATGTTACAACAAACATGTAATTTAGCGTATTATTATCATAAACAAAAATCCGTAAAAATTAGTTAAATAAAAGTTTTAATTAAAGAATAATGAGATAGATTGTTATTATTATTATCATCAAAGTTGAGACTTTTGTATGTTATTTTTTCGTTATTTTTTATGCTGGTTAAAGAATCAACTTAGATATAAAAAGTTTAAATTTTATAATTCACTTAAAGAATCAAAATTGTACATCAGAAAGGTTAAAAAATAATTCACATAAAAATTTGTTTTTTTAAAGATTTTGTCTTGTTTTTGTTTACTTTTTTACTACATAATTGGAAAATCAAGTAAAGGGGCATCTTAAATAATGAATTTTAGCTTAATTTAATTTTATAAGATTGATTTGTAAGATAATATTTATTATAATTTTTTTTATTATTATTTGAAGTAGGATTTTTAATACACTTCGTTCATGCCGACTTAGACGCAAAACTAATGTTTATAAATAATATGATAATAATAATAAATAAGATGATATATTAAACAAATAATAAATTTAACTAATAAAATTGTAATTAAGAACAAAGCAAGTGCATATTGACTTAAGGTTAATGTTATATTAATCTTAATTTTCTTTTTAATTAAAACACATAATAATTTATTAAAGATTAAATACGTGTTGAAGTTGATTAATTATAGTGAAAAAAATATTTTTTAAGTCTTAAATAGTTAATTGTAGTTTTTAATTGGATAAATTGAAAAGAAAAACTTAATTTTACATATTAAATCATTTAATTATAATGAAGAGTTAAAATTTAAATAGTAAATGTTCATCATTCAAAATAATAATGCAACTATTTATTTTTTTAGACAACATGACCCCAAACAAAATTGTCCCTTTAAATTATAGTTTTTTATTTATTTTAGTTTAGATATTTTAAAGACATAAATAAAATAAAAGTTTGTAAGATCAAGAATAGCAACTTTGGCTGGGCACATGTAAGTCTTTAATTTGAGAATCAGTAGATCACGTCAACGTATATTAAAGTGCCGGAAAATTAGAACCAAATGCGTTACCATTATTATTTGTCTAATCGATAATTATCTTCCAATTTTCTCAGAAAATTAATTAATAATATTTTTAAGGTATAAGGAAACTATTTTACCCTTGTTACTGACTTATAAATTACTGATTAAATTTTAAACAAGAAAAAATGACATACCAAAAACTAAATATTCGAAACTATAAAAACTGAAAAGTAGTTCCGCAGAATTTAATGCAAAAAAACTCAAACAATGTAGTGGGCCTTGTCCTAATTTAATGCCATAATTTAGTGACACCGTATTAACGCACGTTCTTTATTTTTTTTTTAATAATTCATAAAAAAATATAGTTAGAATAAGAAATGACAAAAATATTATATTTGGATAAAATTTGTGCTCGATAGTTGATATTATAAATATTTATTATATGTGACTAGCAAATAATATTTGTTTATAAAAGAGTTGAGTATGGTAGTATATTATTCATGTATATATTATTTGTAAAAATTTAAATTTAACTTATATTTTATTATATAAAATTTAATTTTAATTTATATTATATATTTTTAATTTTATTTTTGAGTATTTATAATTTCTTTTTTAAATGTATAAAGACATCTGCATATATTTATAGTTTTAAAATACTCATAAGTATTTTTTAAACTATTATTCAACACGAGTAAATATTTTAGTACAAATCAAATAACAGATAAGTACGTTGTCATCTCTATTTGAAATTACAATTTTTAATATAAATTAAAAAAATATACACGTAAAAGATATTTAAGAAATAATTTTGATAAAGAAAAAATTGAATAGGAAAATGGGGGCTGAGAGGGAGTGGTGATAAATAATGGGTCCCCATTGGAACAAGAAAATGCATGGAGAAGGTGAGGCACTCTATAAAGCAGAGTTGAAGATCTTTTCTTTCTCACTCAGAATAGTTTGTTGTGTTTAATAATATGGAAGAAGATGGAAGAAGAAGAAGAATGGTGAATGGTGATGATGATGAGTACACAGAAGATGGAACTGTCGATCTTAAAGGAAAACCAATTCTCAAATCCAAAACTGGTCGTTGGAAAGCTTGTTCCTTTGTTGTTGGTATCTCTTTCTTTTCACTCTCTAACTTCTCTAACTTCTCTCCTTCCTACACAATCACTTTCTCCTTCTACTTAATATTATAATATTATAAAAGATAATCATATACAACATTTTAGTATTATCTTATTTTAGTATTATCTTATTAGTTTATTAGTTTATTTGGTGTCTATAATTATTATTATTAATTGTGAAGTAATTTTAGATTCATCCAAGTAAATAATATTAAAATATTATAAAAGAATATTGTTAAAGTATCATTATCCTATTATAAATTATATACATTCCTCGTTTCATTTTTTTTTAATTCACTTAACATTTTAAATCAGAATCTCATCATATTAAACTTATCATTTTTATATGATATTTGATTTTATCATTTTTTCTATTTTTATTAGTATAAAATTTAGATTCATACTTAGTATTTTCATCAATCTGAATTATGATATACTTCCTCTGAATTCCTTTCTATTGCATGGTAATTTACTAATTATTCTTTTATATTCTTTATTTATTTGCTTACTAATTTATTTCTTTTACTTAAACAATTTTTCTCTTTTCGTTCACCTTTTTTTATTCACTGGTACTTATTTCTCTCTTTACTACAATAGGACACGTAGTTGAGAAGTAGGTTTCGTTTCATAATCTAATTTATGACATTATGGAAGAGTTTATTGATTGTGGCAGAAGGTAGGTGTAGCTATATATATATATATATATATATTTATTTATTTACGTACGTACATAATATAATTAATATTATCTTTGTTTAGTTTACATTAGGAATTCATAGCTGGAAGACTACGATTCTTCATAATAGTCTTCATGACTTTTTAACATAGGGAAATTGACATTATGGTTGGAGAAGTTTCAATAGAAGTAAGTAGATGTAAGAGAAAAAAATAATTATAAAAAAAAGAATAAAAAGTTTACACTGGTAAAAATTAACCTTGTGGTTTTTTTTAATATTTTCATAATTAAAAATATTTAAATAATTGATTGTGGGGTTACTTTTTTTTATTTTAATAATTATAATAATTATGAGTAATAAAAAATATATTAACACAAGTAACAACAATAATAAATAATAATAAATACATAAACAGAGTTTTTTCCATCACATTCTTTGTTATACTTTATTCTCAATACATTCTTTTACTGATTAAAATTCCTGAGTTTTATTAATTTAAAACAAGACCAACTAAATACGATAATAAACCTCATGTTTGATGAAACTCAGATAAATTTTGTTTGATAAAATAACATATTAGAGACCCATTTGGGCAATTGTTATGTGTGAATGATGCATTGAATTGGATTGCAGTGTATGAGATATTTGAGAGAATGGCATACTATGGAATATCATCAAATTTGGTCGTGTATCTTACAAAAAAGCTTCATCAAGGGACAGTATCATCTTCAAACAATGTCACCAATTGGGTTGGCACCATTTGGATAACTCCCATCTTAGGAGCATATCTTGCTGATGCTCATCTTGGTCGCTATTGGACTTTTATTCTCTCCTCAATCATATATCTATTGGTATCACTCATCACAATTTAGAAGCAGAAAATCTGAATTTCGTTTCTCATATCTGAGATTTTCTTTGAAATGTTCTTACAATTTTAAAACAAAAATAAGTGTATCATGTTTATATGTTGGCAGGGTATGTGTCTACTCACACTATCAGTGTCCCTTCCAAGCCTAAAGCCACCGGAGTGCCATGAATTGGATGTGACAAAATGTGAAAAAGCTTCCACACTGCATCTAGCTGTGTTCTATGGTGCACTCTACACTCTGGCATTGGGAACAGGAGGAACAAAGCCCAACATTTCTACCATTGGTGCTGATCAATTTGATGACTATGACCCCAAAGAGAAGAAGTACAAACTCTCCTTCTTCAATTGGTGGATGTTCAGCATCTTCATTGGAACCCTCTTTGCAAACTCTGTCTTAGTCTACATACAAGATAATGTGGGCTGGACTCTTGGCTATGGTCTTCCCACTCTTGGACTTGCAATTTCTGTAGTCATTTTTTTGGCAGGCACACCCTTTTACAGACACAAATTACCCACTGGGAGTCCCTTCACTAAGATGGCTAAGGTCATGGTGGCTGCTATTAGAAAATGGAAAACTCCTATTCCTACTGACACTAAACAACTCTATGAGCTTGATTTGGAAGAGTATGCCAAGAAAGGGAGAGTCAGAATTCATCCCACTCCAACTTTGAGGTCTAACTTCTACCTTAATTTCTCATCTACTTCATATTCTTAACTTCTCATCTGGTGTTTGGCTATCCTAATTAATGTTTTCTGGCTCTACCTTTATATATATGCATGTAGGTTCCTCAACAAGGCTTGTGTGAAGACTGATTCAAGTGCAGGTGGATGGAAACTAAGCCCTGTTACTCATGTAGAGGAGACTAAACAAATGCTGAGAATGATCCCTATCTTGATAGCCACTTTCATTCCTAGTGCAATGGTTGCACAAATAGGTACCCTTTTTGTGAAGCAGGGTATTACACTTGACAGAGGCATTGGTAGCTTCGATATCCCTCCTGCAAGTTTAAGCACATTTGTGACTCTATCCATGCTTATTTGTGTGGTGCTCTATGACCGTTTCTTTGTGAAGATCATGCAAAGGTTCACCAAGAACCCCAGAGGAATAACCCTTCTGCAAAGGGTTGGAATTGGCCTCATAATCCACATAGTGATCATGGTAATTGCATCTCTAACTGAAAGGTATAGACTTAGAGTGGCCAAGGAACATGGGTTGGTGGCAAATGGAGGAGAAGTTCCTCTCAGCATTTTCATCTTGCTTCCTCAATACATTCTTATGGGAACTGCTGATGCATTTCTAGAAGTTGCAAAAATTGAGTTCTTCTATGACCAAGCCCCAGAAAGCATGAAGAGCCTTGGCACTTCCTATTCAATGACTGCATTAGGCATTGGGAATTTCCTAAGCACCTTTATTCTCTCGACAGTTTCACATGTCACCAAGAAACATGGCCACCATGGATGGGTTTTGAACAACTTGAATGCTTCTCATCTTGACTACTACTATGCACTTTTGGCCATACTCAACTTGGTGAACCTCGTGTTCTTCATGGTTGTGGCAAAGTTCTATGTTTACAGAGCTGAAATTTCAGATTCCATTAAAGTGCTTGGAGAAGAGCTAAGAGAAAAGACATCAAACCAAGTGATTCCAAGAGATTGATTAGATGAAAATGGTGGACTGATAACATGGGATGGTTGGGACAACTGGAAACCAGATTAGCAGAAATCGAGAATATGTCGTAGCTGCTATTATAATGTCTTTAACGTGTGATGTTTTGGACTTAATTCATGTTCATTATGGAAAGAACAAGGTAGAAGAGAATATGTGAATTTATTTACTGTAGGCTTAAATAATATGTGATAATTAGTTGTGCAGATTAAGTGTTTCTTTTGTTGGTAAAAGAAAACACAGGATACACGAAGAAAAAGAAATACGGTAAAATGATATTTACTCTCTATATATAAAAAAAAGAATAAATGGTTCTTATTTATAGAGTCTATATACAGAAAAACAGTTTTAACCTTCCATGGTTTACTTGTTCCCTCAAAAAATGAAATCTAGTATGTGTATTTGTTCTTCCATGTGACACAGCATTATTAGTCAAATTTATTGCTAATTTATTATCAAAAAATAGCTGAATGGGTCTTCTAAATTCCACTTTTATTGTTGTCAAAATATATGTTGGGAAACGGTATTTGTTTTCTCCTCTGCTAACCCAAAATGGGCACTATGTGGAAGCGTAAAAATAAAAGTGTATGCGTAAGGAAAAATAACACCGGAAATTTTAACGTGGAAAATCCTCTCGGAAAAAATCACGGGACCTAGTCCAGAAAATTATCTCCACTATGAAAGTAGGATTACAGTGTTTCTCTCACTCTCTGAGGATCTCTCAATAAATCTCACCCTCTCGGATGGTATACAAAAAAACTCTCTTTTGCACACTCACAGTTTCTACTACACAGTGTCTTTCACCTCTCAGTAATGTTTCTCTCTTCACAGTAATACCCGTGACTTTCTCTCTTTCTCCTCTTGAATTCTTTCTTCACCGTTTGATTCTTGGTGAGTTGTGTTTTGCTGCACATTTTGCATTCATTTTATAATGAATGAAGGAAGAAAGGACAAGAAACATGGTTGGTGCATTGGAGCAATTTACGGAGCTTTAGCGAAGGTGGAAGACATTCTTCCTCAATATATGGTATATGAAAACATTGACCATTCTTTTCAGCATGTGGATGGGTCCCATTTTTGTTTTTATCCAACAAAACTCCCCCATAAAACTCAAAATGGGTATTCCATCCTTCATTCCATCATTGCATCCTGTCTTTAGTTGGAAGGTACCACGACA